CAGCAGTCAGGTCCTTGCAGAGAGAGGAAGGAGGAGAGGGCCTATTTATTTCTGACTGAGGCCATATATACTTAGGGGTGTGCAAGCTGCCCTGATTATAGGTAACCACATACATTACAGGAAGGGGTTGTGCCATAGCATGGGTAGGTGACGATCTTGGGGTATACATGCAATAGGAAGGGGAGGGACTAGGGGAATACGTGTGACAAGATGGGTGGATCCTAGATTCAAGATGGCAATCTAACTTTGGTCTTTCTTGAGTGGGCTTGGTCTTCTCTGGGCTCTCCTTCAAGGAAACAATCCACTATCCTTATGAGCAAGGAGTGAACCCCACCTATGGTGGGGCAGACAATAGAGTCTGATTGCTCTACATGGCTGAATGCCCTCAGGGAGAACACCTCTAAGCAGCTGACTACACAGTGAGCTAGCGAGCAGGTGACAGCCTGGGGAAAAATCCTTTCTGTACCCCACAGTTTAAAAATCGCCAAACTTCCTTTTTTTCTATCTGTGTAATAGAATTAATGATCTCTACTTTATAATGTGAGAATTAAAGATAATAATGCATGGAAAGTACATCACATCTGCCCTGTACTGTCTGACTGTCATGCCAGGCACTTAGTGTCACAACACAAACACAATCGTTGATGCTGCTGTTGCTGCCTGTTCACATTTCTTAATCATGACCTTTGCCTGCAATCAAAGGCATGTCTCCTAGAATGTCTGTTTAAAGATATATCAGAGGTACCTTTTATCCAGTGTGTCATTGACGTTTATTTTTATTTATGGGTATGTAGTCAGATCTGCACAATATCTATTTTTATTGTCAGATCTGTGTTTTTGGAGGAGTTTGGAAGTAAGAATGAAGAGGGGAGGGTTGAGCAAAAGTAAAATCAGATGGGAGATTATTTATTATAGTAGTTGATTTACTAGATAAAGGAGACATGAAATACTATTTTAATACATGATTGCTTTCATCTTGGTGGGCAAATTACCCTTAATTTTTAAAAGTCTTCTTGAAAGCTCTTCTTATCCTCTACTCAAATGTTTTTTAATCTGAGAATTTAGATTGAAATTTTAGTTTTAGTTTCCACATCAATACCCATTTTTGTGACATTAGATATCAACGTGATTATTCCTTTTGAATATCATGTAATTTTGAAATGGTAAATATGTTGATATTCCATAGTTGTACTTGCAAATGCAAATCAGACTTAGCGTATACACTTGAGTATAAGCTGACCCGAATATCAGCCAAGGTACCTAATTTACCACAAAACTGGCATTGAAAATGTGATGAAAAAACTCAGCTTAGTGGAGACCCAAAGCCCATCTGTAGGCGACTGGAGATCCCCTTGCAGAAGGGTCTTGGGGAGGAGACGAGCCAGCCAGGGTGTGATGTAGCAACAATGAAGGGTACAGCTTTCCTCTAGTTCCTAAATGCTTCCTCCCCACCCCCACTATCATGATCCGAATTCTGCCTTACAAGTCTGGCTGGATGGGAACTGGAAACAGGGAATCCAAGGCGGATGATCCCTTTGGGACCAGTGGTGTGAGTGGGGATGCTGGTAGGATAGAGGGAGAGTGGGTTGGAAAGAGGGAACAGATTGCAAGGAATTGTAGGTGACCTCCTCCCTGGGGGACGGACAGCAGAGAGGTGGGTAAAGGGAGACGTCAGACGGGGCAGGATATGACAAAATAATAATTTATAAATTATCAAGGGCTCATGTGGGAGGGGGGAGAGGGGAAGGAGGGGGAAAATGAGGACCTAATGCTGGGGGCTTAAGTGGAGAGGAAATGTTCTGAGAATGATGAGGGCAATGAATGTGCAAAGGTGCTTTACACAATTGATGTATGTATGGATTGTGATGAGTTGTATGAGCCCCTAATAAAATGATTTAAAAAAAACACCTCAGCTTATACTTGAGTATATACAGTATTCTTGAGTTTTTCATATGTATTTTACATGTTTGCCATTTTCTGAAATATTATTTTATTAGTATGTGTTTTGTCTTAGGTTTATAATTCTTTGAATAATAGTTCATCTAAATTTGATCTCTCCACAGATACGGACCAGGATGTAGCACTCAAACTTGCCCAGGAACGAGCAGAAATAGTTGCTAAATATGACAGAGTAAGTATTGAGTACGTTTTCTTAGAAAAAACCCACATAAATAGAAATGAATTTGCTTTTTGGAAAGCTTAAATTACAGAAGCAGTTTGTTTACTGCATGTGAACACCGAGGTCATTTTCCCCTGACTTCCCTCCCAGTTCTTGTGCCCTCATTCCTTCTGCTCCAGGCATTGTTTTTTCTCTGGCTTTATATTCCTCTAAAGTGGCAGGCTGGCTTCTGCTTTAGACTTGCCGTTACCTTGTCTTCCACTTAGAATATTGATATCCTGCATGTCCTCGTCTCATTCCCTTACTGCTCTCAGATCTTTACCCAAATGCCACTTTTTCCTAGTGAGATTTTCTCTGACCATGCTATTAAATGTCTGTATCTCTACCCCACCCCATGCACACACTGTATCCTCCTCCCCTTCCTTATATTTCTCCATAACACTCATCAACATCTAAAACACTATGTTTTACTTATTGCTTGTTCTCCCTTCTAGAATGTAAACTCTCTGAGGGCAGGGATTTCTTTCATGTTAGTCTTGTACCCTAAACCCATAGAACAGTTCCTAACTCATACCATGTACACAGTATAATATTCAAATAAGTAAGCATATAGGATTAAATATCTAGCTTAGTATAATTCATTCGATAGCCAGTCAAAAAGTATTGGTATTTCATTTTAGTTCACATACACATGGATTTATTCTACACACAGACTGTTTTTAAACATGTCTCTGTCATTGGGTTAGGGAGCCTTCATTAAAAAGTTGCTTCCAAGCAGTGGCTTCTGAGAATCAGCTAGATCAATTAAATTCAAGACAGAGAGGACTGCTCAGGTTAAACTTAAGAAATTTGAAAGTGCATTGGAGAGAAACAGGCCAGGGAAAGTGTGCTGAGGAATTATTGTTTCCATGGTAGCAGGGGACTTGCTCATTCTTCAATGGTAGGAAGGGCTGTCCTACAAGAAGATTGTTGAGAAACTTTACTTCACCTACCCTAGAGCCTTGGTCTTGCCCCCTTCAAACTTGTTTCTCAAGCTCAACATTTAAAAAGAACACTGTTTGGGTCCCTTTTTGGATGTCTAAACTGCTAATTTGACCCGGTATAAATCGAAGAGTGCAGAATTCTCCAGACAAGGGTGTAGAGAGATGGATTCAGGCATGTAAAAGACGTAGATGGAGAACATTTAAGAAACAATAGCTTCACATTTTGGTATTTTTATTAAGTAAAGGTTTCTATGAATTTGTAGCAATGCTTTGTGACTTATGTGTCATATGTGCTGTTATAAATCTAACATGTATCTGAAATTCTAAATTCACACATTTCTGTATAATTTCCGCAAGTATTTTATCCTTATGTTAGTTACAGAATCCAGTTTTTGATGGCCTAGAAAATATAACTGTGGATAGTTTTTACATGTGTGTTTATTTATGACCCTGCCTCTGAGGTCTATAATGAGTAGTAGCAGTAAATAAGAAGTGTTATGTTATGTATATGTATGTGTAACTTGCATGTGATTTTATATTTGGCATATTTTAATTGTTTTGGAAGAGTAGCATGACTATGAAATTATAGCAAGCCATCTGGATTGTGCCCGGCTTCCAGAGAGGCATACATGCTTAACTTTACAGTTATATTCTAAGAGTTTGTTTTTAAGTTAGTTGTTTGAAACATCAGGCATAGTTTCCCATTCCTGTAGTTAGATTGTAGATTAATAAGGGACATAATTAACTTACGTAAAACCAATAGAACCACAATTCATTTATGCCCCGCTTCATTTTTTCCCCATGCAATTAAAACTTTGTGATCAGATCTAGGAATCATGCTGGGTATTGGCTATTCACAATGTGAATTACAGAAAGTTTTGCCCACAAGATGCTCACCGACTACTTAGAGGAGATCAGATGAGTACATAATCTTAAAATATTATGTTAGGCTTGGTTATCTAGCAATCAAAACCAGAGTAAGAAAGAACTTTATATAAAAAAGTAATTTTATACCAATAAGGCCAGTCCAACTCAAGTTCATGGGTCTGATGCCCTCTTCAGATTCATGTAAATGCAGACTGATGACACATAGGGGAAGCCAGAAGCCAGATGTTGGGGGATCATAGGCTTGTGGGTGCAGAGTCCCGTGTATACAAGATTGGTAGAAACCTGGAAGGGCACCGGCAGTTCTCTGGGTGCCCCTGGAGTCAGACACAGAAGCTCAGCAAGCAGAGGTGTGTGTGTGTGTGTGTGGGGGGGGTGTTCTCAAATAGAAAGGCCATACCACCAAGAAGGCATCAACAGGCGGTGACCTGAGTGATGAGTTCAACTTTACCCCTCTACTTTCACACAGGTTCAAATCGACATAAAATCTAACTGCCACAAATATACTCACGGAGGTATCCACAAAGCAGTTAGGTATTTGAGTCAGAAATCTCAGTAATTGTTACTTTTATTTTGGACTCCTACACAAATCAGTGATAGTTAAAACTTTTAGAGTAAATGAGTACCATCAATCTCTTATCTGACCACTAAGCCCGTTTTTACCCCCAGTTATCTTGATTTCGTTCCACATTTTTCCCCATTCTATCGTGGACTTTTCTAATATGATCCCTTTCAGAGAAATTGGTAGTTGTAGCTGAACACCATCTGACTCTGATCTTGGGGTTATATGGATTGGTGCATTATACATGGTTCATTAGTCCATTGGACTAATTACTTCTATATATCTTTGATTTTCTTTTCTTTCCTCTTTGTAGGGAAAGACCAACATTTGTGCTTGACATGGTTACTGATGAGCTTTGCAGACTAAGTACTACTCCCCGAAGTAGGATGCAGAACATTGTCTTTGTAGACTGAGTATGCCGTGCCATTTGATATTGGTGTTCCCCAAGACTGTGTTTCTTAGTCATCCTTCAGGCTGGAAATGATCTTACTGCCATGGCTCAGTTTTCAGCCAAACAAATAGAAAGGCTGATAGAGAGGAATAACACCGCTGTCGTGTTAGGTGCTGTTGGGTTGGTTCTGACACATAGTCACCCTGTATACAGGGACCAAAACGTCTCCAGGTCCTGTACCATCCTCACAATTGTTCTCATGTCTGATGAGCACATTGTTGCAGCCATTGTCAGTTCATCTTATTGAGGGCCTTCGTCCTTTTTGCTGCCTCTCCACTTTACCAAGCATGATGTACTTCTCCAAGGACTGGTCTCTCCGGACAACATGTCCAAAGTGAGATAAAATCTCACTATTCTTGCCTCTAAGGAGCACTCTGGCCATACTTCTTCCAAGACAGATTTGTTTATTCTTTTTGCAATCCATGGTACTTTCAGTATTCTTCATCAGCACCATAATTCAAACACATTGATTCTTCTTTGGTCTCCCTTATTCATTGTCCAACTTTCAATGCATTTGAGATGATTGAAAATACCATGACTTGAGCCAGGCTCCCCTTAGTCCTAAAACTAACCTCCTTGCTTTTCAGCACTTTAACGAGGTCTTGTGCAGCGGATTTATCCAATGTGATGTGGTGTTTGATCTCTTGACTGCCGCTTCCATGGATCCAAGCAAGACAAAATCTTTGACAATTTTAAGCTTTTCTCTGTTTATCATGAAAATACCATTAGAGGAGGTACATGTACCTTAGGATAATGAATAATTTCAGATCAAAAGGGCAATACAATATTTACCCAACAAAGTTTAGAAGTGTTGGGGAAGAAGGAGAAATGGAAACAAAAAGCACAGAGATGAAGTGTGATAAGTGATGTTACACTGTGGGGATTCCAGGGGCAGTGAATTATTTAATATGCCTCTTCTAGCCAGTCTCTAATTCCCACTAAACAACCTGACCCTGCCTGGGTCTACTAAGAAAGTGAGGGAAGATAATCATGGGAATTCCCTGGAGTGTCACCCTGTTAGGTATAAAATGAGCCTTTTGAAAAGCAGAAGAAGGGATCCCATTAACAGTGAGAGCCAGAAGTGGAGTGCATCCTCTGGACCCAAGATGCTGGTGCAGTGAACTTCCTGGATCCAAAAGACAACCCATCAGAGGAGCAGCAGCAGAACCAGGAGCCAAAGTGTGGAATAGAGTGATGACTTCCCAACCCACGGGTCAAGTAAAGCTGAGTGCTTTTGTGCAGGACACTCGCTTGTGGAGTAGGGTGCCTATGGGCACTTAATTGGGGAAGTTGGACTTGCAGACCCACAGAGGTAGAGCTGAGTGTTTGTGGGCTAAGACTTACTGGAGTGGGTTACAAGTGGGCACTTAATTCAGGAAGCTGGGTTTACCGACCCATAGGTGGAGTTGAGTGCCTGTGTGCTGAAGCTTACTGGAGTGGTGTTCCTCTGGGCACTTAGTTCTTGGAGCTGGGTTTATGGAATCATAGCACTTGAGCATAATGCCTTTGGGTTGAGGCTTCCAGTGGAGTAGTTTGCCCCTTTGGAAATTTATTAGCAGACTTGAAAGAGTTTGTAATATGTCTTGATAACTCAACCCTGAGTATTTCTCACTGGACTTGCAATTTACTAACATCCTTAATAAACCCTTTAATCATGAATTTTGTCTGTGAGTTCTGTGTAGCCTTAGCAGTGGATATTAGAACCCAGAGAGGTAAAATAGAGAACACTATTGAAGGCAGCACTGGGATTACAATCAATTACATAAAACAAAATATATATGATTATTGGATGGAAAACCATTCTGCCCTGTAAACCATCACCCAATTCAGAATTAAAAATTAAAAAAGAATGAAAGAGTACATCGAATGAGAAAAATCTGATAGGAAAACACCAGGCTCATCAACAGTTAAGTGTTTATGATAAAGCTATCAGTAATATTCAGAGAGGAGAGGCACAAGGAGAGAGGAGAATCAAGATCAACAACCCAGGGCTGATTCCTATGAGGCAGAGGTCAAATATACTTAGTTATCTAATGTTTCCCGCAAATGAACCGGGCTTGTCCCTTGCCGTCTGGTGAAGAATTACTGAGTCCTGCACATCCAAAGTATAGTGTGGTTTATTCTTGTTAACAGGTGAGGAGACAGGAAGCTAGCTCTTAAAGTACCCAGGACCCAGGGATCTGAAGTCTGCAAAGAAAGGGGAAGAATGCATACTGCATTTCTAGACTTAAGTGCATTCTTCACCAGAGACTGGACAGGCTCTTGACCCATAAGTTGGAGCAGGACGCCTTGCAGTGGGAAAGTCAGGGGCCTGATGACTCATTTGACCTGGACCCTGTAGCTTTTGGTTCCTTGGTTTCAGTTCTTTTGGTCTGGGGTCATATTGTGAGGACAGTTTAGTTTTTACTGTGTATAAACCTGCACCTGACTAGAGCTGGTCCTCGACTGATTCTGTAAAACAATCTGAAAAAGGATACTAGGAGGGAGAGGAGAAGTAAAGCGCGTGTTCCGCTCTAGTGACTGACTGGGAATAAGTAGTAGCTCAGCTCATTACTCAAAAAAAATCATTCTGTGTTCTGGGCGTCTGCTCCGTGTACTGTCCTGTCATTGAATAAATGGTCACTACTTTTCCTTGAAAGTTCTAGTATGTCTCACCATAAGTTAGATGGCTTTAACAAATAGTTTATTCTCTCACAGTTTAGGAAGCTGAAGTCTGAAGTCAGAGTGTCAGGTCTAAGAGAAGTTTTTCTCTTCCTATGTCTCCTGGGTCTAGAAGGGTCTCATTTCAGGGACACCAGCTCTAAAGGATGTTCTCTGCTCCTATTTCTTCTTTCTTGGTCATAGGTCCCTTTCCTTGGCTGATGTCTCTTTTAAGATAAAAAGTGATGTAGGTCACACCCCTTATATCAACTTTCCTAACTTCAAGTCAAGACTGACCTGAGTAATTTAGGGCTATCATCTAACTCTAACTCCATTACTGTCAGATCATACTGATCACATTAAATGACACCGTGGGATATAGTTACATCGTTACAGAGCTTCCAAACACAATTCAGTCCACAACACCTCTTCTTTACAACCTTGTTAACTATTTTGACACAAGCTATTCCTCCCGTGGCACTCTTTACTCTGCGCTGTACAATAATTCTAGTTACAGATCTCACTACTCTCAGTATTGAGGTTCATTAGAGAAGTAACAGTCAACAATCCAAGGCCAGGAATGACTCAAAATAGCAATTTTCAGGCAGGAACACTTTCGTTCATTTGTTTTTAGCTCTTCTATTGAGTGCCCAGAAACACCCCTTCTCTCAGCAGGCCTTTCTGTTGGTGCTCGGCTCTTGCTCTGTGGGTCAGCATACCAATGTAGCCACTGTGCTCTGTGCCTTCGTGTACCAGCTTCTTCAGTCTACTGCTGCTACTTCTCCACCACGGGTTCTCACTGGCTCATGTCCCCTCTGGTCTTTCAATCTCCTGGGTTCTCACTGCAGGGACCTCAGGTCCAAAACACACCCTCCACACACCTCTCTTGGAGGTTGTGAGCTCCTCTCTTGTTCTGGATTCCCCCTGATAGCAAGGTGGCGAAACCGACCACCCCCCGTCTGGTTTCATATACTTTATTTGCATGGTGCCATCACTACAGGGGTTCCAGGTACCATATTTGCATTCTTACAGACTGTCTATTTTCCTGAGCTACCCAATATTTTGTGAAAGACTCTGGCTATAAGTGCCATATTAGTAATTAACTGCACCCCATCTTCTCATTTGCTGGATCAAGACTTCGCCACTTATCAATTAATGCTGACATACAGTATTTTACATAGTTCATGACCTAGGAAATGAATGTTATTGCCAAAAACAGTTGGTTTAAAGAAAAAGGAATGTTAAATTAGATTGATAATACCGTTCTTCCAAGTCTTAATTAATTACACATAAAATAGCTCTTTTTTTTTTGTTTGCTTGCTTGTTCAATGTATTTGGTTTTATAAACTTCCATTAACACCTGTTTTTTGTCCCCCAATTTAGGGACGAGAAGGTGCAGAGATTGAGCCTTGGGAAGATGCTGATTACCTTGTTTACAAAGTCACGGATAGATTTGGCTTCTTACAGTAAGTCACATAGATTGAAAACAAACTTTTGTTTCTAATGTTTTTATTCTCACTTGTTAAAACCCTGATGTTTTACATAGGGTTGTTATGAATATGCTTTCAGGAATGATCCTACAATGTGCTTTTTTATTTTAAATTTTCTCTTATTTTTAATGTCTAATGTCTGTGATTGAAAGTGAACTGGAGTTAAGAAAGCAAGCTTTAGTATTTGGTAAGAACATTAACGCAGCAAATGAGTTGTATTAATAATTTAGCATGATTAAATGTGAATGAATAATAATTTATACTTTAAAAAGAATTATGATGCATCTTATTTTACATAAACTTACTAACAATTACAGCAATTGCAGGCTGAAAATGAGCAATAAAAAGAAATGCCATTGCTCTTCCTTATAATTATAAATGCATTCATGTTATTGCTTCTCAAAATTAATTCCATCTATTTCACTTAACGTTATATAAAGCCCCACCATGTCACTTTGTTGTACTGTGGTGGCTTGTATATTGCTGCAATGCTGGAAGCTGTGCCCTTGGTGTTTCAAATATGAGTAGGGTCACTCATCATATGTGGAGTCTCCAGACCCAGAGCAGAATAGGTAGAAGAAGAGGTGATCCATTTCTGAAAATTTAACAACCGAAAACCTTATGATTAGCAGCAGAACATTGTCTGATGTAGTTCCAGAAACTGGATACTTCAGCGTGGAAGGCACTTAAAATACAACTGGGAAATAGCTGCCTCCTCAAAGTAGAGTACACTTTCATGAAATGGCTGGAGAGACGCCTTCAGAACCTTCCTTTGCCGATGGGCATGACCCAGAATCAGAAGAAGCAGCTGCAAACATCCAGTACGATATGTATTGACACAGTGGCTTCACATATAACAACAATTATGAGAAGGGCAAAGGACCTGGCTATGTTGTGATATGCTATTTATAGGGTTGCTGTGAAGCTGAGCTGACGCAATGCACCTAGCAAGTTGATAGAGTGGATTCTGACTCATAGTGAACCCGTAGAATTTCTGAGGCTCTAAATTGTTAGAGGAGCAGTTAACCTTGTCTTTCTCATGAACAGCGGTTCTCAACTTGTGGGTCGTGACCCTTCACAGGGGTTGCCCGATTCATAACAGTAGCAAAATTACAGTCATGAAGTAGCAACGAAAGTAATGTTATGGTTGGGGGGTCACTACCAGATGAGGAACTGTATGGAAGGGCCGAGGCCTTAGGAAGGTTGAAGATCAGCTGGTAGGTTTGAACTGCTGATCTGTGGTGAGCAGCCCAGAGCTTACCCAACAGCACCACCAGAGCTTTGATAGGAGATTGAAGCCAGTTTGAAAGAACAGCTTCTAAAATCCTCCCAGTCATGTGACTCAGGCTGTCTGGTAATATTTAATCAGGTTCCCTGACAACCCAATCAAGTTCTCATTTACATGCATTCTTTTCCAATGTTGTATATTATAAAGAGGGAAAAGGGAGGGATTTAAATTTATCTAATATGATTAATTTTTGAGGTAAAACCACATGGTTTTTCATGGTTCATATCAGTGACATGTTTTTTTACTGCTATTTGCTCTCTTTGCCTTTGAAATGATTTTTTTAATACTTGTTTTTCTGAGAATAAAAAAAGCAAGGAAACAGTTCTGGGAGTTAGAGGATTTGTGTTGTGATAACATTTCTGGTCTTTATTCAGTTAACCATTTCATGCCTCATGAAATAGGAATCAGTAACTTTGCTATATATATATATATATGGCTTTGAAGAAAGAATGTAAGAATATAAAATTCTGGATAAATATAGCTCATGTTATTTGTATATCTGAAAAGTTCTCTTGAGGTAGTTATAATCAAGAGACTTTGCTCTTCATAGACAAAAGTCTATAAGACATTGCTTAAAAATTGCCCCTTCCATTTTTTAAAAATAAATTAAGCTTGGCTACCTGTAAGTAAATCAGGAGATGTCGCATATGTGTGTGGGTTAATGTCCATATCGAAGGCATATGAATAAAATTTAAACGGACATTTTGAGTATTTAGAACTCTCAAGGTAAAGGGCTCTCAAAGTTACTTTCACATTAGAATAAGCTGGAAAGTTCTTAAATGAGATCCTATCCTAGATTTCTGTTCAAAAGATGGGCTAGAACACAGGTGATTTTTAAGCTCCCCAAGTGTAGAAGTATTTGATGGTAATGAGCCAATACAGTACAAAATACATTTGAAAACCTTTTGTGTTCCCAAAGGCTTTAGTTATTACCTGAATTCTTTTTCTCATTGTTTGAAATGACATAAGCCTAACAACCTTAGTAGCAAGTTCTGGCTAAACAGTCCAATCTGTATTTGGCAATTAAAATTTTTTTTAAATTGTACTTAGTTATTTCATGTTTGTTTTCTTCCCCCTGGACTGAAATCCATTTGGCTGAGCAGAGAAAAGTCAGTCAGTAACTTATTTTGATAGTACTAGCTAATGTTTATTGAACAGTTAATGTGTGCTGGGCATTGTTTTAAACTCTTTACACAGATTATCTCAGTTATTCCTTTCAGAAATTCTTGGGGGTAGGTACCATCTTTTTTAATCTTGCTATCAAGATGATGAAACAGAAGCAGAGAGGTCCACTAACTTGCCCATGTTTCACTAATGGGCGAAATGTCAGATTTAGGACCTGGGACTGAGCCGTGTGATGCAGATCCTGTATTTTTCAAACTACGTTGTGCTGCTGGTTAGGGTTTTCCCTGCATACCGTAATTAATAAGGTGATGTCAGGGTAAACGCTGCAGAAGGCCTGGGAAGAGAAAAGAGTCCCTAAAGAGAAGGGCACTGTTTGAAAGCCTTCTGAGTGAACCAGTTCTTTCATTATATAGTGATTGTTAACATTTGATTTACTCTAAGATGCAGTCTTAAAGCATTTAAGAATATAATAAGCATAGAAATGGATTTTAGTCTGATTTTAGGCTTTATTAAATCTCACCAAAACCATTGATTTTTATTACAATCCCTAATTTAAATAAAATACTTTCTCCATAAATTATTCGTGGTGTTCATTCAACCCTAGTCACTGTAGACTCACGTTTTTGGTGCTGCTGAAGAATATCACCTGGCTTAAGGTCCCTGCCAAACCGTAGTCAGAAGAGCCTGTCTTTCTGCTATCTTGGATTCTTTGTAATTATTGATAGGTTCTGTAGTGAAATTGGATTTTAAATGTCAAGGTGAAAGTCAATAAAACGGAAAGACAAACCAAAAGCAAAACAAACAACATTGTAGCCTGTGCTCAAGGTTGCTAAGCTTATGTTTAACTTTAATTTTTAATAACTTATTTCTTATTATATGTGAAATTGTCATATTAATGAACAGATAGTTTTATAAACTTTTCACTGTGAATTGAATGAAGGCTTACAGAGTAAATCATGAGTTTTACATTCAACAATCTTTACACATTTTTTTTCAACTTAGCCATTCTTTCACCCCTCAGTTATAACATCACCCTTCTGCTGTCTCCTGCGCTTCCCGTTTCCGTTCTTCCTTCTCTCCTAGTCCTCTGGACTCTGCCCTTGGGTAACTGCTGCTCTTGTGATCTCCTATGGTTGATCAAAATTGTATATACCAAGCATTATACATACATTTGTATATAATGTATATGTCAACCCTCATACGTACATTATATGTATACTAGATACTTTTATTAACCATTATATACAAACATTTTATATATTTATATATATAGTGTGTGTGTGTGTGTGTGTGTGTGTAATTTTCTTCTTAACCACAGGTCTGGGTTCAGTTTCAAACCTGAAGGGTAACTAAGGGCCATAGTCTTCGGTGCCACTAGTCTATTCCACCCCGCAAGCCTGGTTCTACATTTCCCTCCATTCTATTCAGGACCTTACAATGTGATCATTTTCAGAGAAGTTGGTAGTGGTAGCTGGGTACCATCTAGTTCATCTGGTCTCAGGGTTGTATAGATGAATTTTTTGTATTCCGTTAGTTAGTTTATGGGAAATGATTATTCTCCTGTGTCTTTTGCTTTCTCATATATCTTTTAATTTTTGTCTCCCTCTTTCCTCTGAATCGGGAGAGCCAAGGGGTTTCCCCTTAGATGGCTGCTCATGCGCATTCAGGACCCCAGTCACTATGCACTCACCCAAGTCGGATGGACTAACTCAGTTTTATAATAGAGTTCACAACAGTAAAGCTATTGCCAAAAGTATGTCTTGATGATAGAATAGCAATGCCTTTGTGTAGTACTTAGAAATGAGAACTTATCTTTAATCTGTGTACCTGTGATGGAGTTACATTTGGAGAATTGAGAAATAGATCTTTATTAAGAAGTTAGATATTTTTATACATTTTATACATATTTTAACATTTAAACTTTAAACATACTTATCAAAAGTAATCATTGCTAGTCTGTTTAAATAATCCTTAGTATTTAGATAATGATAGATCATGCTTTTAGGTCACAAGTTATTAATAGACAGATGAGAAGGAAATTATACCAAAAATAGAGAAGATAAGATTAGCTTCCAGGTTCATATTTTCAACTGTGTATATTTGTAAAATTTAGCAGGCTGTCTAGTTTACTGGCTATATAAATATATGAGTGAGTTTCAAAATGTTCTTGGAAAAAAATTCTATTATCTTTCAATTACATTTTACCAGGAACTTTTTAAAGCTCCTTTGTATGAAAGCCAGATTAAAGATATTTTGGTTTTTGTCTTTAAAGACAAAATCCCTATTGAGACTGAAGGACTTGAGAGATCTCTCTACTCATCCTATAAATTTTGTCTAGAATAAATCTGAACTTTATAAAATCTCTTAAACATCAGACTTACTAGCTCACCAATTTTAACAAGTTCTAAGTATTCAATGAGTATATCTCAACACATACAGGAACATTACACCTAACCTGTTGTGAAGTATGAGCACTGGTATTTTAAATAAGGCTCACTGGTTCTGCTGCAGGTGAGGCATTGGCCTATTAACAGTCAGGCTGGCAGTTCAAACCCACCAGCTACTCCACAGGACAAAGATGAGGCTGTCTGTCTTCTTCCATAAAGACTTACAGCTTCTGAAACCCTATGTAAATGTTGCTGTAAGTCAATATCGACTCCATGGCAGTAAAATTGATTTCTGGGGATCATACTCTTAATTAATACCCACTACCATTGAATTGATTCTAACTCATAGTGACCCTGCATAGGGTTCCTGAGGCTGTAAATCTTTATGGGAGTAGAAAGCCTCAACTTTCTTCTATGGAGTGGCTGGTGGTTTCAAACTGCTGACCTTGTGGTTAGCAGCCCAGCTTGTAACCACTACGCTTCCAGGGCTCCTCTGAAAACAGTTACCAACAGCACATAAATGAATGAGTATGACTGTGTTCTTAAAAAGAGCTTTCTTTAGAAAAACAGTGAGTAGGCCGGATTTGGCCAATAGACTATATAGCTAGCTTGTGGGCTGAAAGCAGGGGTGGGGAATGTCTGGCCTGGAGAGGGCCCTTGAAATCATCAATACCTGCTAATAGGGGTGACTTAGTTAAATGTTTGATTAAATATAGCAGGCTAATTTTTAAGTTAATAATTCTGTATGGCCTGTGAATGATGCCATCCTATCCACTGCCCCTTGGCAGAAAAGTTTCCCTGCCCTGGACTTAAAGGAAAGCTTTGCATACACCCAGTTTTTGGTGCTGCTTTTTTCTGCTTGAAGGATGATTAGATGGCAAGGTGAAGATGCATATGTGCAGGCATCCACCATCCATCCTTCCCTCCATTCATATACTCATTTAGAAGTTGTGCCTGATAGTGGAGCAGTGTTTTATGTGTACAGTTTGAATATTGCATACAGCTGTTGATGAAGGACATGCTGATCTGTCGTTTAATGCATGCCAAAGTAGACCTTTGAAGAGGAAGTGTTCTCTGGAGATTGGTGCTGTCCACACAGCACATCCTGTGGGGAGGAGATGAGCCAGTCAGGATGCAGGGTAGCAACAATGAAACATATAACTTTCCTCTAGTTCTTAAATGTTTCTTCCTCCCCACTATCATGATCCCAATTCTACCATACAATTCTGGCTAGACCAGAAGATGTACATTGGCACAGATAGCAACTGGAAACACAGGAAATCCAGGACAAATGACCCCTTCAGGACCAGTGGGAGAGTGGCGATGCCTGGAGGGTGGAGGGAATGTGGGGTAGAAAGGGGGAAGCGATTACAAGAATCTACATATAACCTCCTCCCTGGGGAATGGACAACAGAGAAGTGGGCGAGGGGAGATGTTGGACAGT